CGAAAACCACCCCATCCCACCAAATAAAAAAAACAAACCAACCAACTAAAAAAAAAGCACCCAGTCTACATTAAGTGATGTCTGTATACAAGGTGATACATATTCTCAGATTTCCTCAGCATGTTCTAACATATAAATTGAACCCTTGTTTCATAAATCTTAATATGCAAGATCTTTTTTCTTTTAGGGCAAATAACCTGCAAGAAATTGTACATATGAACTACTATACCAGAGCACGTAAGGAAATGTTTACAGACAGCAACAATATAGAAGCCCTTAATGAGAGCAGAAAACTAAGATAACAATAACAGGTTTTATACCAACATCTTCAAGGTATAACTAAAACTAAGGTAAAAAATGGGATTTCAAGTTCCAACTCATATCCAGGCTCAGGCAATTGCAGTTGTAATCGAGGGGAAAGATGTGTATCCTTTTTTATTCTCTATATATTTCATTGGAAATTGTTTGTGGAAAAATTTGCAGTAAAAGAAATAAAGAAAAATTGATTTGTATTCCTTTAATCTCAGTTACAATTGGATTTTCTGATTACAAAAGAGAGGAGAATGATCTGGATTCTCCCCTTTGTTTAATTCTGGGTTCTTCACGGTGGCGATGAGATGCCTCCCTCGAATGCTCGCGTCGAGTTTGCTTCTCGTTGACGATCCGATGTCTTGTTTCACTAGAACGTGGTCTTCTCCTCACGATTTGACGTTGTGGAGAACTCTGAACGAGTTTAAAACTCTATGAAAGAGTTGATTTAACCGAAAGTCGGTTATAAGCCAAGGATGAAGAAGATCTTGTTGCCGATCTCCAAAGCTCTAACCGAAGGATGAAGAATCCTCTTTTCACTGCCAAGAAGTTCCAACAGACCGACCCCTGAACTGAATTGATTTTCAGTTATTTATAGGGGATTAAGGGGTGTAACCACCTCCTTAATTCGCTCCTAAGTGGGGCTAATGGGATGTAACCGCCCCCTTAAATCACTCCTGAGTGGAGTTGTGATCCCCTCAGATCGTGGGAAACGGTTTTGAAACCGTTCAGCTCGTGTTTGAATGAGTCAAACGCAAAATCCATGTTCTGATGCGAATTCTGTATTCAAACGCAGTGTTTGGAAGCTCAGACGCAGCAATTTGGAAGCTGCGTTGGCATCTTGTTGAAAGCTGTGTTTGACAGCTTGGGAGCTGCGTTTGGCGGCGGTTAGAGTTGCGTCTGGCAGCGAGTGAAGCTGCGTTGGGTAGCGGTTGGAGTTGCGTCTGGCAGCGAGTGAAGATGCGTTGGGCAGCGGTTGGAGTTGCGTTGAGCAACGGTATAGAGCTGCGTTGGGCAGCGGTATAAAGCTGCGTTGGGCAGCCGTATAGAGCTGCGTTGGGCAGCGCTTGGAGCTGCGTTGAGCTGTGGTTGGAGCTGCGTTGAGCTGCGGTATGAGCTGCGTTGAGCTGCGTTCGTGGCTATGAACGCGATGCGTCTTGATGCTGGTGTGCGGGGAGGACTTCCACAGTTTGATTTGAAGAGACCGTCGATTTGTAGTCTCTTTCTGTCGAAGCGTTGCAAAGATCGTCACTTCGTCTTGGCTCCTTGAGAATATGAGAGTCGTCAGATTGTAACTCCCGATGTTGATTATGAAGGCTGTTTGATTAGAGCTTCCATCAGTTGTCGTGAAGGTCGTCAGATTGTAACCTTCAGCGATCTACGTGAAAGTCTTCAAATTGTAGCCTTCTGGAAGTCGTCAGATTGTAACTTCCATCATCGGTGTTTTGATGGGGATCAGCTATCTATTGTGATTTTTAGACAGCCTACAGAACCCCCTCCAAAGTTTTCGAAAGTTCGCGGTTGACTGGGACGAATTTTCGGAATACTTTGGATTTCAACTCTGATCTTAGAGCTGTTGATTCCTTGTGGTAAAGGATTTGTTCTCTGCACTTGCTTCGAAGGCATCTTGGTTGAAGGGATTTGCCACGTAGGACCTGTGTGAAGGTATGCGCCATAATCCTGCTTCTGGAATGTGGGGGTGGACCCTCAACGTTTTGACTTAAGACATGGAATTGACTTCCGTACATTTTTGATTAAGTCTTTGAGACTTGTCTTTGGCTCATCTGTTTTAAGTCTCGGCTCACATCCATTAAGCTGATGGACCTGCAAACGTGCATAGGATTTTTGGCAAACCCTCAGCCATCAACGGATTTGATAAGCCTTTACCGACTACCGTTTGAGTCGGGCTAGCATGTGGATTGTCTAAGTCCGTTCCACATGTAACGTTGTGCTAAGAGAATGAACCCTCTTAGACTTGATGCTAT